AAAACGCTCGTTTCGGAAATCAACTACAAGCGCTTCCTCCTCTCATCCGCCACAAAAGTGATTGATGATCGACAAAAACAAATTGCCGATCGTAAGAAGGATCTCATTAAGGAGATTACTGCGATGGTAGTGAAGATCACAAATACAGTAAATATGCGGGGCAAACAGTTGGCTATGCGTCTAAATGAGGTGTGCGATACCAAAATGAAGGTACTAATCGAGAAAAAAGATGCTTTGCAGCTGCTGTCGGACAACACTGATCACTGCATCGAGTTTATGGAGAACGCTATGGAAAAGGGCAGTGACTACGCAATTCTGTCTAGCAAGAAATCGTTGGTGAGACATCTGCAGAAGCTGAAATGTCAACGTGCTGACATTCCGAACCCGGAAATTCCAGTGCGAATTCAAGTACAGTTGAATCAGGTTTCCGAATTGCAGAAAGGTAGGTGGATGACTGCCATTTTGTTGGAATGAATTTCGAATATCTTAATTAGAAAAATTATTTAAATTGAGTTTATTTTCATTAAATTTAATTACAATTTGTTTACTTTGTTTTGCTTGGCTAAAATTAAGTTGAAATGAATTTAATTTAATAGAGTTGACTGAGCTGTAGGAAATAAATTATTAATTTCTAAATGAAATTAAATTAGTGAAATGCAGTTATAGTTATTTTCAACAATTTTATTGAGCTTGAGGCCGTAGTTAATGAAATTTTTTGTGGAAAAAAACAATTTAAATTTCGGAGATAACAACATCTCCTCATCGGACTTTTACACCTGGATTCGATATTAGATTTCAATTTCTCTTCCTTGGATTTGCAGTCATTTCGCAGCTTGGCACTGTTATTGTAGACGGCAAACCGTATCCGCCAGCACCATCTCCCAATGGCCCGCCACGCCAGCAGCCAAGTCCCAATATGGCGCCGCCACTGCGTCCTGGCCTTCCGCCCGGCATGCCCGCAGGCATATCTCCCACAGGCCCTCCAGGCGGCTATGGACCCCAGAATGGACCGCCGATATACAACAACAGTTCTCCGGCACAGCAGCAGTTTAACAACATGCAAATGAATCGCAACTACGCTGCGGAGGGCGCAGGTAAGGGTACGCCAGCATGTCGTTCACAGTTTACAATTACACTCATCACATTTATACGTTAGGCGCACTCTTCATTTAACAGTTACATATTAAATAAGCCATTTATTTGACGCTCGTTATTTGCTTGTTTCGTTTTGCAGTTCGCTTCGGTGCCATGCCACCAGTGGGAATGCAGCGTCAAGGTCAACCACATGTTAGTTCCTCAACACACCCTCAAAATATGGGTAAGCCACATACCTACATATGTACATACATTATAAAAAATACATAAACAAATACTTGTGCTTTCGCGGTCAATCATCTTCTGCAATTAAAGTTTTAACGATTACCTTATTGATTTTTATTTAGATATGAGCTTACGTGGCCTTCTGAATAATCAAGCAGCGCAGAGCCCCAATCAAGCACATATATCCTTTAACGGCCCCCCTAACTATCCCGGTGGTCCACAAGGCGCCGCTTCGCCACACCAACAAATGACCACCCAAATGCGGCCGCATTTTATGGGCGGTCCTCCAGGCCAACAACATCAGAATTACCCGCAGAATACGCCTGGTGGACCGAATAACCCGAATTTCATAAACAATACTGCACGTTTCCAGAACTATCAGCGTATGTCGAGTCACGCGCAACAGCAGGCCGCGGTTGCAGCAATGTCAAGCGGGGGCGGACCTGGTGGCCCGTGCGGAAGTCAAATACCGTCGCCAAACGCTATGCAGCGACCGCAAATGATGCCCAATCCAATGCAGAATGTAAGATACTATTTCTAAAAATTGTTTTATTGCAAGAATTCGCTAAACTTTTGGTGATTTTTATGCTTTTGTAGAACATGGGGTTTCATGGGAGCCAGCCTGGCTTCAGTCCCGGTCCCCCTCAGACATCGCCACAAATGAATAGCAGCTTGAGCAGCATGCACAGCATGGCCAAGTGGCACATACCTCAATCGGCGCAGCAAACAAGTAAATTCCAATAGATTAGCAACGTGGCAAAGTTTTTGCAAAGTACTTAAAATCTTCTATTGTTTTTTATTTTTACATAGCTTGTCCGCAACAAGGTCCGCTCATGCAGTTTGCGAATGGCCGTCAAACGGAAAACTTTAAAATTTCCCTAAAATCTCCAAATACTCTGAAGAATACCACACCGCCAAATGGCAACTCGTCGGCGCATAGTATGCAAGGCGCTTCTAGCTTGCATGCCGCTTCGCTTGGGCTCGGACCAGCTGTCTCCATACTACCCAACGTCACATCAACGAATCCAAAGACGCCGAGCCCGAGCACTAACGAGGTGGGCAGTAGGATCATTTATATTTTTAGACATTCACGCAACAATATTGCGCTAATGCTTTTTTGCACAGAGCTAGTTTATAAAATATTTGTATTTCTGCTTTCGTTATATAGAACGCAAAAGATTTCACCGAACCGATTGACAAGGTCCGTGACGATTCTATAAACGATCTAATGGCCACAATTGCCAAATTGGACTCGAACGGTGTTCAGGTTTTGCCGGAGGGGCGCACCAAGACCACATCGCCACAAGTGCATAGCTCAACCGATCTATCCAATACTCAAGAAGGTAAGCGAAAAGTTGTCAATATTAAATTTTCATTTAAGGTACTGTGGTATAGTTATAAAAACTGTTTAATATCCAACGAGGAACTGGCCCAATGTTGATACATCGAAGTTTCTTTAAAAAAAATTTTGTTGTATCCACTATTTGTCTGGAACTTGTTTGATTTTGAGCTCATTTGCTATTTAGCTTCCTCATCAAGCCATTCATTATTAATCATTACTGGAAAACTTGCTTTTTATTGGCATATATGCTCTTATAGTTTTTGCAAATCAAAATTTAGAATTCGCTAAAAGTTTTCCAGTCCTATGTGTCACATATCTGTATTACTAGCACAAAAACTGCAATATTTGAATAATTCAATCGTAAGTTCCTCTGATTAATCTACAATTACTTGTAACTTTGCTTTGTTTGTTTCTTTTTCGAACGTATCGAATCAAATCGTAATGTATCGTAATCGAATTAAACTTTCGTCTCTTTAAATAATGCATACTAATCATTAATGCCAATACACATACAATACCAAATATTTAATTCAAACACCTTAAAATGCAAATACTCGAATCAACTGAAAACTAATTAGTTAATAATAAAAATGATCAAAAAGACGACCCGAACGAAGATTGGTGTGCGGTTTGCCTTGACGGTGGAGAACTCATGTGCTGCGACAAGTGCCCGAAAGTGTTTCATCAGAATTGTCACATTCCTGCGATCAGTTCGCTGCCAGACGAGAGCGAAAGTTGGCAATGCCTATTGTGCGTAAACCTCAAAGAACTGGCTAACAACACAGATAACACCCAGAAAGTACCCGGCGAGCTGAGTCGTTTAGAATTACAGATAGTGCAACGCATTTGTCTCGAATTGTACTGCCAGTACGAGCAGAGTCTGCACTTCCGCGAACCGGAACCGCCTACTAATACAGCCTATTATGAGATTATTTGCAAGTAAGTGTATACATAATGCAATCTTTAGCTGAGAAATTTGACTCATATGTATATCCGCTTTCTCTTGTTTACAGCCCAATGTCTTTGGATGTTATACGTACAAGATTGGATCCTTCCAGTCCAAATCATTATAAGGATATCGCTGGCTTTGTATCGGATGTGCGTCTAATATTTAAAAATACTTACCTCTTTTATCAAGTAAGTGTCTCGAATTGCTTTCAAATTGCATCTAAATTTTAATGTTTTCTGAAAAAACCAATCGTTTCCGTTGAAACGATTCATAGTCCAAATCACGGCATCCGTAATCAATTGGCACTCTTTTCGAATCGAATGAACGACCACGCTTCCGAATACCGTAATCTCAAACAAAAATTTCGAATCGAATTTGATTCGGTCGCGGATACCGTGATTGTTGTCCAGTTTGTTATCGTTTAGGTAATTATCAAGAGAATTTTATTTTCGTTTTTAATATAAAAAATTCCAATCGTTAGCGTTGAAGTTGTAGTATACATTTAGGAGCTAGGTGTTAGAATCGTTAACTTAGCTCTGAAACGTAACTGTTACGATATGTTTTACCAAGATATTGATTTAGTTGCTCCTGTGTAACTGGATTAGCGTGTTGTTGCAAGTGAATTTATTGTACCACCATAAACAAAAAATCACACGCTCATTAACAAGACACAACGAACACAAAAGACGCTCCCACGGATGTCGGATCTAAGTAACCGGAACGACCCAGATTCATACATCCGCACGGCAGCCGGTTCTACGTACCGGAATCGTACGAACAGCGTTCACAGGGAATCAGTTTCGAGTTATACAGAGTCCCGCCCTGTGAATGCCGTTCTATTCACACAACCACCGGACGTGGACGGGACAGAACTTTGTCTGCCTCGGGAGACCCGCACTACAACAGCCCAACTTCGCGCTGGCTATTGCAGCAGGCTAAACTCTTACCTAAGCAGAATCAATGAGGATGTGCCCAACCAATGCCCAGCATGTGGGGAGTCGCCACATGACTCCCGGCACCTCTTCACATGCCCTGAGAACCCCGCCCAGCTGACGCCCCTGTCCCTATGGACAGACCCGGTGGAAGGGGCACACTTCCTGGGCCTCCCATAGCTGAAATGGACGACAACGTTGATGGATGAACCGACCCGAGCGGGGCTTAGTAGCCGCTAAGACAACAACAACGTACCGGAATTACTCGGGTTTTAACCGACCAAGGGCTGTTGTTTCGGCGATCTAACCCCGTTAGGTTGTCCAACCCGACGAAGCGCGACGACAAAGTCGAGATAGACTTTGGTGACCACGCTTCGTCGGACGTGGAGAGATGCGCGAACTATTTTAGCCGGCAGTTCATTCTGCATCCTCCGGTGGATGAAGCCAAACGTCGAGTGACCAGAAGGCTGCACAAAATGCCAAAACCTAGTGCGCCTCTTGTTTTCACCAGCGGTGAGGTAAGGGTAGCCATCGGGAAGGCGAAAGCCTCCAAAGCCATTGGACCCGACTTAATATGTATGTTGATGCTGAAAAATTTGGGTCCTGCGGGAGTAGCGTACCTAACGGAGGTCCTCAACCTGTCTATGACGACTCTCGTCATTCCAGACATCTGGAAAATGGGGAGAGTGGTCCCACTGCTCAAACCGGGGAAACCAGCCAACAAAGGAGAGTCTTATCCCCCGATAACTCTCCTTTCCCCGGTAGCGAAGACACTCGGGTCCCTGCTGCTCCCGTACTTTACGAACCACCTGACCCCAGTGAAGCATCAACATGGGTTCCGTAAAGTGCATAGCACAACAACAGCACTTAACGCCATAAACACTCAGATAACTCGTGGCCTAAACCGAAACCGCCTCTGTGAGAGAACTATTCTAGTAGCGTTGGAGCTGTCCAAGGCGTTCGACACTGTCAGTCATTCAACGCTACTAGAAGATATAGAGGCCTCGTCACTCCCACAGGGACTCAAACGGTGGTCGGCGCATTACTGAGTGGTCGACACTCGTCAGTAATTTTCAGAGACAAAACTAGCAAGCCACGTAAAATTAAACAGGGGGTACCACAGGTTGGTGTCCTGTCCCCGCTACTGTTTAATTGTTACATCTCAAAGCGTCCTCAGCCACCAGAGGGTGTTAATATAGTCTCCTATGCTGACGATTGTTCGATCAAGGCGTCTTGGAATGGAATTGATGACTTGTGCTCGAAAGTAAACGATTACCTCGCCGAACTTTCTCGCTTCTTCACTGCAAGGAGCCTTGCCCTATCCCCAGCGAAATCCTCGGCAACCCTTTTCACCACCTGGACGAAGGAGGTCAGATTGCAACTGGGTATTCACGTCGATGGCGTAACATTACCGACGGTGAATAACCCGAAAATCCTCGGAGTTACCTTCGACAGTCTGCTCTCCTTCTCGGCGCATACAACCGCAATTGCCAACAAAGTACAGAGCCGCAACAATGTCCTCAAGTCGCTGGCCGGCAGCACTTGGGGCAAAGATAAAGAAACGTTGTTGGAGCATAACATAATGCTCTGCAAGCAGTTCCTCGCTGGGAGCCACAGACGTGGCTATCCCAGCGGACAGCTGCTCGCGGAAAAGCCCTCGCCACGGCACGTCAGGAGGCATCTTTACGAACTGACGAGGTTTATTAAACAACCTCTGCACCCGTCAACCTACCGACAGGCCCTGAGCGGCATTCACAGGGAATCAGTCTCAAGTTATGTAGACTCCCGCCCTGTGAATGCCGTGCAACCAATGCCCGGCATGTGGAGAGTCGCCACATGACTCCCGGCACCTCTTCACATGCCGTGAGAACCCCACTCAGCTAACGCCCCTGTCCCTATGGGCAGCCCCTGTGGAAGTAGCACACTTCCTGGGCCTCCCCCTAGCTGAAATTGACGACAACGTTGATGGATGAACCGCCCCTAACGGGGCTTAGTAGCCGCTACAACAACAACAGCAACAACTACCTGGACGAAGGAGTAACTTTCGACAGTCTGCTCTCCTTCCCTGCGCACACAACCGCAGTTGTCAACAAAGTACAGAGCCCCAACAACCCAGAAGATAATTTATGTAGGCGTTCTTAAGTAAAGCCATTCTTTTTTTACCCCATGCGATTTCAGTCGACCAGTGCAAGAAATTGAACTACCGATTTCACATTGCATTTCCAGAATGCACCACCGTGCACTCATTGCATTTGTATCCTGATGCTGTCTTAATAGAGCGTTGGCTACTTTCTCTCTAGTTTCTACTCTAAATTTCTAAATTTGAATCTGGCTGAAAAATTCGTATAATCTTATTTTGACCCATGGTTCGTGTTATGTAACTGTTTAAAACTTAGAACAGCCATACTTCCAGACATATTTCTAAATTTTATTTAATGTTACCCTTGATTTTCAGGAGGATTCAAAAACATTCACTAATGCAAAATATTTGGAGAACTTCTTCGAAGAACAATTGGCCAAATGGCTGCCAAATTTCGCTAACAAATCCCATTCAAATGCATTAAATGGTAATGTAAATACAAATAGCATCAGCAACCCAACAAATAACAGCAATAATAGTGCTTCCACGTCGACAGCAGCATCTCCAGGTCTGATGAATATCGCCACCGGAGCCGTTGGCTCACCCGGTAGCATTGCATTAATGGAGAACGGTAGAAAGAGCTGCAGTGCAGCTTTAAGTCGGGATGATGACTCCTTCATTCCGCCAAAGAGATCACGTAAACTAACCGAATAGGAAAAATTTAATCAGCTACTTAACAGCATGCTAGCAACAATCAATAATGGCAACGAAAGCGAAGAAGCGCTCGCACTGCTTAGTCTATGCTGCCCGCCGCAAACGCAGGCGCCGAGCCTACTTTTCTAATGCCTAGCTATGGCGATTACATTTAATAAAAACGAAAACGAGGATTTAAAACTTATTAACGCTAAATGCCACAAGATGAGTTAGTAAAAAATATCATACGTCATTGATCAAAGTTATGCTAACGCCACGCATTTGCAATCTAAAAAGTTGTTGTGGCAGCATTATTTAAAGTAGTGATTTTGAAGATTTTATTGGCATCGAATTTATATAAGAAATGTTGCAGCACTGGCATGAGCCCCAAGATCTGCAGTACCGTCTTCAAAATTTGTATTCGAAGTAACATTGAGAAACTTCCCATACTATGACAACAGTAAAGAATTAATTATAAGAATAGACATTATTTGAAAGACATCGTTTTGAAATTAACTATATATATACATATGTATGTTGTAAATAATTTAACAAGAGTAATACAAGAGAAATTAAATTTACTCATTTTGAATTTGAAAAAGAAAAAACAGAATAGTATCAAAAGCATAATCAATAAAAAAAAAAAAAACCAAATTGCACTTACTAAAATTTAAACTAAAGCTGCACCTAAAATAATCTTAAGAGCGCAAAGAACAAAAGTATAGAAGATAATACAAATAAACTCATTGCGATCATCATTCACAAGCTCATTTGTATATACCATAATGCATTCTGCCTACTAATGATATAATACACTAAAAATGTGTAATTTACCGATCTACGCATTGACAGCCAAAATATCTCTGAGTGATTACATATATGATATATGAAGATGCAAATAAATCAAGGAGAAATAACTGAAATGCAATATACTGTTACTGATACATGCAACCTAAATTTTATAAAATACAGCTGCTTATCGCTGAGACGCCACATTTCAAATATGTCATAAATTGTGTATTTGCGACATGAAACTTTATTGATTTTGTAATTAGTTCGAGACATGCATCCAATGAAATCTTAAATCTTTCAAAAACTATGATATTCATAACTCATATATTGTTAATTTACCGTTTATATTAAATATGAGTTTGTGATTTTATAAAAAATTATTACGCTAATAAATGGTGAGTACTGGATTAATTGTGGTGGAATTGAGAACTTTTCCAGAGAGAATTACTGAGCAATGTTGGAACCTAGAAGATTAGGTTCGTAAACTGAGTTAAGCTGGGTCTTTCTTTAATAGAAATCGCACTAAAAATTTACTTTGCGTAATAAGTTCCACTCGTACGAAGCCAAAAACATTAACTCACTATTAGCATTTTTACAGTAAAATACATACAAGTATAACTTTGTGATAAAAAAAAAATATTAGACCAGCGAAAGTCTACAAGTATTCTGAAAAATGAAAAACTTTTTTATTTTTTAGAGCATAAATCCATTTCATATTTTCGTTATTGCATTCACGCGTTTAATTTCTGCGGAGTCTCGCGAACGTTCAACGCTGCAACGCGACTAGTTAAAAACAAATGAACAAACATGGAAAAATACACAAATTACATACGTACATACATAGGTATAAAAATATAAATCAAAGCATCCGAGAAAGCATAGCGTAGAAATGTTATAATGTAGTTTATATGTATGTAGCTCCTCATACCAAGTATTTACAATAAATAAGACACGTTTTTGGCAAATTACCCCAACTAACTAATTCAATACAAAAACTAGCTCATATTGAAAAGAGTGTTTAAAAATTAAAAAAAGGCAAAGTATTTTAGTTACGAATGGACATGTGTGTTTTGCATAGGGTTTTTATAAGTTCTACATGGATATGCATACGCAACCATTGTCTAGTTTTTTTTATTATTACCACATCATACATTCGTAGATACTAAATTTAAGATTAAAAACTAATGTGGAACTCAAATGAATGTTAGGTAATATACACATATCGTTACCTTAATATAGAAAGGCCCTAACTCATATTGTCGCTGAAATACAAAAGGCCGTAACTAAGTAAAAATCCAAAATTCCCTTCTTGATTGTTTATGATGCATTTCATCGAATTATCAGTCCCCACATCATTTTAAGCAATACTAAATTTTAGTCAGTTACGGCTTTTTGCGTTTCAGCGACAATATGGATTAGAGCCTTTCTATATTAAGGTAACGATATAATACTTTTTATTTTGTATTCTGCAAAATGTACATGCCAGTAGTTATTTTCATTGTGTAGAACCCGTATGACTGTGGACGTACCAACATAATTGCACATAATACCAATGCATACATGCATGATGGGTAACCCTTTATAGAGAATGTATGTATGTATAATTGTTGATTGCGTATACGGATATAAGCCATTCGCAAAGTTTTTTTGATACCATATTATATATATCACATAGCACCAATTTAGAAAGAAAGCAAAATTGGCTATTTTCGTTATCTGTAATTATCAATTCTACTATAATAGCCATCATAGTGACACAGTGCAACAAGATTCTATGCATTTGATAAAACCAGAAGTTAATGAAAGTTTACACCTCCCATAACAAAATCCCAAAAGAATTTTTAGCCATAGATGTTTTTTTTTTATTTGAATTTGGCGAATGACTTGCTCGACAGCAAAAGCAGTAAGCAAAAAAAAAAAACAAAAAATTGGATGGAATTTTAATCAATTTTTCCGGCATATAGGGTATTTTCGGAATCGCTAACTTTAAATATCGTTGCCTTAATATAGAAAGGCCCTATCTCACATCGTCGCTGAAATGCACAAAGCCGTAACTAACTAAAATCTTTTATTGCATAAAACGATGTGAGGCCACATAATTCGATCAAATGCATCATAATCAATTAAAACGGAAATTTTCGATTTTTAGTTAGTTACGACTTTTTGTAAATCAGTGACGATGTCAGATAGGGCCTTTCTATATTAAGGCAACGATATGTAGATTAAAAATTCTTTTGGGGTTTGCTATGGAAGGTCTAAACTTTCATTTTCTTTTGGTTTCATCAAATACGGAGGCATAAACTTACACTGTTTTTAACGACTTTTATTTAGATGTATGCATTTGCATACTAAACATTTCTACAAAAGCACCCATACAATACGTATACATACATACAGATAATTACTAAATTTTTGTAGTTTTTATCGTAGAAATAGTTTATAATTTATTGACGCTGGTATTCCTTACCATATTGCTACTGAAGAGTTAACGATATGGTTACTACGTATACTAAAGGGTAGTGTAAGAAAGTATGTATATGCTTGTATGTACATACATGTAAGCATGTGAATTAAGTTATAATCTACTGCATTATTTTTAAGCAAACATATGAATTAATAAACAAGTGAATATTTAATGTAAATCAATAATTTGTCTTCTTATTTTAATATATATTTAATACTAACCAATTTCTTTCGTGTGGCGCAACGCCTCGCCGACTGTTGATCTTGCTCCTTACAGCTATTCGTTTGTAATAAGTGCCCCTGTTTTAATTCGAATGTAATTTCTTTGGAATCATCTTCTCACAGTGCGTAGTAGAATAATACAAACAAGAATTTAACTATGAATTCATATTTAACTACGGAAATCATATCGTTTGAAATTATGCAACTTGGAAAATCAAAATTTTTCTGTACGAATTTGGATTTCCACGAAAATAATTAGTTCCCCGAAAAAATATTCAAAGTTATCAAGATTTTAACTATAGAGTCATGATACAATTATTGCATCATACTAAAGGGTCAGTGGCCCAAGCGGGTTTAAACTTGCTAACTAAGCATCGTGAATATGAGAATCGAAAGTTTTAACTCTCCTTGTTGTTAACCCAATAAACACTAAAAAAAATATTTCTCCAACCTTGGAGAAATTCATAGTTCTCAAGTTGATATCCAACACCATTCTCCAACTCATCTCTAACCGACGCGCAGATACGTAATAAGTGATAGAGAAACGAATATTTAATTGCCAAGTGAAAACCTAAAGCTGCATATATAAAGAGGAAAACTACCAACAAAAAGTAAATAATCTTCAAAATATCTTCAAATAATCTTGAAAGATAATAAAACGCCAAGTGAATCAAGTAATTTTACTGTCGGACTGTATACTGTGAAGTGAATTATTGTAATACTACATAATACAAAAGGAGTAATAAAATGAAAAATTAATGTTTAAATTCATCTATGTATGTCTTTTCAATCAAAAAGGTATAAGGTATTTTACTATTTCAATTTCAGTATTTCAATGATATGTTTGAGACCAATTGGAGAATTACATTGGACTTCAAGTTGAGAACTAGCAATTTATCAACTTGAGAAACAGTCCTTTTTTCATACAAAGAAAAATGCCCTTTTTGTTGAGAACGCTATGATCTTCCACTTGAGGTACTGTTGAGAAACAACGTTGGAGATTTGAGAAATACCTTAGTTCCCAACTTAACCTCAAGTTGAGCTCAAACCTAAATGTTTATTTTGTAACTAAGAGTTTACCTGGGCTCGAATCGTCACATACGATATCGTATTACTCGTCACGTAAAAACACACTTTCTGGATTATGACATATGTACGTGAACGTACTCTTTATCCCATTCAGCTTATACGGCCGACATATCACGTAATTTTCTTTCGTATGGTTTTCGATCCGTAAACGGATGTTACGATTCGAGCACTGGTCTTCAAAGTGACGCAGGAAGACTACACAAGTTATTATCCCGATCTTTTAAATTAGCGCATTCATTGGACAGCGGAATATTTGAGCAGGAATCGCTGAACGGAGTCGTATCATCAAGCTATGATCAAACGCGAATTCTGGTCACACAAAGCCTTTCTTATAGATATTGCACAGCAAATAGTTTAGCTGTTGGAGTGATAGTCTTTGCCAGATATAATGAACTTTCATACTCCCCGGAACACAGCTATGTACGGGTCTCGGTATAGACTGACGATGTGGTGCGGAAGAGTTTTCAAGTTTCTCCTGACTGTTTACAACAACTCACATTTGGAGAAGATAATAAGAGCCGCAGAACTGTATCGCTCAGGCACAAAACTTTACAAGAGCGCGCAATTGTTGGCGTATGTTCACGACATCGACATCATCGGTAACATCAGTTTGGATAAGAAAGCGAAGCGATTGGGTCTGGTGGTCAACGAGGGCAAGACGAAGAAATTCCTGCATCACACATACATTCGCGTCTTAGCGCCCACGTCAGTGTTGATAGTTACAAATTTGAAAAGGTAGACGACTTCGTCAGCCTTGAAATCCAACGGAGAATCAGATTTCTCAACAAGTGCTACTTTTTACTAAGAAGTAAAAGTCCTCTCGCCTCGTTGTACAAAAATCACACTCCCGTGCTGGTGTATGGCTCGGAGGCATGGATAATGAAAACATCTGATGAACGCGTTGGCGATTGCGAATACCATAGACAATTTAACGATGAGCGGTATGAGTTCTACAACGATATAGACATAGTGCAGCAAATAAAATCCAGCGGCTACGCTGGCTAGGTGATGCCGTTCGAATGGGCAGAAACGCTTCAGCTCTGAAAGTATTCAACGCGGGTTGTTGTTTTGGACTCGGCTGAAATCGCTTAGGCCGTTGCAGCGTCAATAAAGAAGAAGAAGAGGCAGTGGAAGATTCCCCATATATTTGGTGACAAAAAGGAAAAAACGTACTCCGATTTTGATGAAAATTGGTACGTGGTATACTTTTGCCTTCTTTTTATTTAGCACTATAACCGGTTGTCGGTTTGCGCCGAGGCCGAAAAGATTCACCAGCTGTTCATCACAAGTGCGGACAGGTTCTCCTGCACTTGGTCCTTTCATTGAGTTCGTGGGCGCCCTTGCTTTCCAGTGTAATCGTTGTTGTTGTTACAACAACCCCTCCCAGATAGGTTGATATCTCACTCCACCAACGCCAGTGTAATCGTATTTTTATGCGCTTAACTATGTCCATACAAGCGTTATTCTTCGCATTATCTCCAAGCTGACATTATTTGTGGTATATTAGACAAAGCCCTTCACTATTTCAAAGTTATGAGTGCGAACAGTGACGTGTGTACCAATACGTGACGACTTCTTATGTGTTTCCAGTAATTGGTCTTGTACTCGTTCACCAACCCCTTATATTCTTTTTTAAACCCGAACGCACTTGTGCATAGGGTATTATAACTTTGTTCGTATAACGGTTGTTTGTAACAGCCTAAAGGAATCGAGATAGATATAGACAAATGTATACATAAATGATCAGAATGAAAATAGAAGTCGATTTGGCCATGTCTGTATGTCCGTCCGTCCGTCCGTCGGTCCGTGTACACGATTATTCGAGCAAAAATTTAGATATCTCAACGAAATTTGGTATATAGGTTGCCCTTTATCCAAGGTAGGTTGCTATTGAAAATGGGCGAAATCGGACTGTAACCACGCCCCCTCATATAACGGTATTTGCGAAAAATGCAAAAACTATGATATTTCAGTAAATATTTGATCCAATTTGTTGAAAATTCGTATGTGAAGTAGAATTTTGGTACAAAATAATATCATTATGAAATCTTTAGAAAAGGGGCGTGACCCCGCCCACTTATGATGAAATACTATATCTAAGTAGCCGCTTCACTTATCCTAGTAGTTAGTAGCTTTAAGCAGCCTTATTGCTGTTCTCACCTGGTCTTGGTCAAGTGAATGAAAGTGGGCGTCGCCCCTCTACATTGGTTCGGGTTCTTTTTCATCAATCGCGCCAGTGCCGCCATTCAAAAGCATTGAGAAGTGTTCACTTTATACTCTGGCTATTTGTGACCAGATTTCCATCCTTATGTCTACAGGAAGGGGCCCGGGTCTTGAAACCACTTCATTGCTGCCTTATTTTCTAATTAAATTTTGAAGCCGCATTCCTGTCTGACAGCGTCTCAAGCTTTTCGCGTTCAAGCCTTTCGTTTTTTTCTCTTCGGACAGTACATACAGAGTTTTCAAATATTTCGACACCTCCGCCACCTAGCGGATCTTTCATATTGCATTGTCATCGGGTTCTGAGCTAATTTTGAAGTGTCCCAGTCTCTAGGCCATCAAGAAGTTGGTTAAAAATTGATTTCAAGATTAGATAACACACAGGCAAAACACAATAAAAGCTTATAAAAAAACCCTGAGAGAAAAGTTTTACCCATGATTCAATAATAAATAATATTATTGAATCATGAGTTTTACTTGCATATGTATGATGAGAAAGTGAAGTAATCTTTCTGCCTGTTTTGATTTTTTATTCGAATGTACATGAAAGATTTGAGATATATAAAGGGCTTTAGCAATTTCCTCGTTAAAAAGGCTCAAATTTTATAAAACTCTATTTCATAAGTAAGAGTAATGCATTTAAATGATAGATCTCTCGATGTCGTCAAAGAAATCTTTCAATTCTATTTTATATAGAAAAATTCGATTCTGCACTGTTTCTTTCTCAAACTAACCTAGAAACTAAATACGTACATAGATTCTCTAAAATATACATAACTTAAAATTCCGTTAATTTGGTGATTGGATTACCACTGCACTGATGATTTGATAGTTCAGATTACATCAGAAACCGTTGGTCAATGGAAGTTTTGGTTGTGACATTTTGGCGCACCCATTTATGGAAGATGTGCCGTAAGAGCTGTACAATAAATAAATAAAAAACCCAAAAACATTCGTAAGGGTTGTGCGCACAAAAAATCTGGGGTTTCTAAGTACCTTATTGAGCAAATAAACGACGACATTTGCTGCTATTAAATTAGATGTCATCATGTACAAAGCCAAGAGCAACGCTAATTCCATTACGAATAGATTCAAACTATTACCATATAAAAGAAGTCGGGCAAACGATTTTTCACTATCAATATAGAATGTGCCTTTACCTGAAATGACAAATGACAAAGTCGGGCATTAAAAAATAATCTTGTCATTACATTGAAAAAATTATGATTAAGTTCATTTCCACTTGGCATTTTTTTTAAATGGCATACATTTTTTGTCATTCCAATGCCTAGTGGAAATTCGGCATTAGATATTTAGATTACACTGGTTTATAGAAAAAAATGTTCTATGGATGCCTCTATCCAATTTTTATGTTGAATTGATCGGTGATTCCGAAAATCGAGTTAATTTTTTTTCCTATGGATACGTTCTCGGGATATTTGCAATTTTCCGTTATACAACTTAAAAAAAGAGTGGTCCCACTTAATCACGTATGTACATATATCTTATGAACCAATTGAACAATCGTAATACGTATGGAAGCCAACGAAATTCTTCACAAATCGTATATACATCACTTTTCGATAGCTTCTGTGGAATTAATTAACAAAAAAAAAAAAATGAAAAGCAAGACTGTTTAGTCGTTATTTTTTATTTTTTTAATTTTTTCATCAAAAAAATAAAAAATCTGGATTTCTCAGAAACTATCAGGCCTTTCGAAAAGTGACGTATACGCGGTTTATGGAGAATTTCATTGGCTTTAATTTTCCGTATTATGATTGCTCAATTGGTTCGTAAGAAAATTTTTTAAACTGAATAAAAAGTAAATTGCAAATATCTCAAAAACGTATCCATAGAAAAAATTAACTCGATTTTTGGAATCACCGCGCAATTGTACATAGGTATTGGACAGTGGTGTCTGGACAACAGTATTTCGTAACTTACTTTCGGTCAAATAATTATTGAATTCACAGTTTAGTAGTTTTTCCATGAAAGTTTTCTCTTTTATAATATAATCCATGTCTTTGATAGCCTGCAATGAATCAAAGTTTGCATTCGAATACATTATAGAATAAGTACTTATGGTTTATTTTCCGAACTCACTTACATGGTCTATAAAAGCGCATAGAAACCGATTCAGACTGCTGTAAGCCGCCGAACTACGCTCCACAGCAGCGTCGATTGTGTTTATTTCTTTTTGAAAATGTGCTTGCGAAATGCTGTAAGACCGTTGGAAAGGGGCCATTAACTTCTCGAAGTAAATTCTATGTGAAAATATAGATACAAATTAAAAATGTCATAGAATAGATACAAACGTGGCTGTAAAAGGTAAAGAAGTCGAAGTTCGAGAGAGCCCTGCAAACCAAAGATCCCGAATCTTAACGAAATCCTTAGAAGTATCTCGTTTCTGTTATGATTTTTTTTTACAAATCTTCAAAGAAAATTGTATAAAGCGGTTTACACGAACTAGTAAGGAAATTTCTGTACGAAAAATAAAAAAATTCTGAAAAATTTCTCCAAGAAATTCTTCACATAGCAGCATTATTATCATTGCTTTACCGATTTGCATCCGAAATTTCGTCAAAGAATCGAAGTGTGCACAGTGTATTTTATTTTAGAAAATTCGGAAAAAATCGGATGATTTCTCTACAATTCAGAATACTCTGAAAAAATGGTTTGCAAGGGAAACTACATTATTTACACGGCGCATGTATTCACACATTTCTGAGGATTGGTATTTCATAGGAAGTGATTGTACCCGTAGTGAAAATTTGGTCAGTTACATATATGCAAAACTTTTCCAAAATTTTTATAATAATCCCAACAATTGAAGGAAAGCGGTTACCTTTTTCCAAGCTTTGACTAATTTAAATTTTGTGTAATTTTGCTCACTGAAGTATTCTTCCAGTTTTTGGATTTTCAAACCTTTCATCAATTTTACACATTTTTTTGGCAATCGCTCCAATCGAGGATCGAGCCTGGGACCTGCATGCTTGTAGTACGAAGCTTTCACCACTCGGCTACTGCGGACGAAGGAATCGGCTGCTTTGTTTGCTCAGGGAGCGTAGAACATAAATAAAATACAAATTCAGTATGCAGTATAATGCTTCAGTACAACGTATATTTTTAGTAGTTTAAAAATGTGTAGGACTGACTTGAGGACCAGTTGCAGCAATATTATATACAAAGCAAGGTATACACAAGTAAGAAAGTCTAAGTTCGGGCGGAGCCGAACATTAAATACCCGGCGCAAGTATTAAATATCACCCCTATTGCGAATGTCGACTGGCAGTAGATAAACGACTATTAAGCGATTATCGATTAGCGATGCTATTGCGAGTGTCGCTTAGTCGCTCAATTAGCGACTGTGAATACTTTTTAATCGCTCATTCTTCTATTGCTGTTTTTTTAGTCGTTGGAGTTTGCGTTTATAAAATTTACATAAGAAAGTGGTACTATAATGGATAAAAAGTAAGTCAATTGAACTGGAAGTTGTAAAAAATTGTGAAATATACATATGCATGTATGTGTCTGAATTACAGATCAAAAATTATAAGCAACAAAAGGCAACTTGCGCGGTTGTTCGTACTGATGCAGGAGAGTGAAGACATAGGCAAAGGAATTTCCGGAAAGAGTAGGGTAGGAAGCTCCGCTTCTATTGGAAAAGATACATATACAATATTTCTTGTGCATATAACTCCGGCTACGCCATCCACAGTGTTTTTGCGCAGAACCAACATCAAAAGTTTATACAAAAAAACTGCATAATTTATTAATTGACTAGTGCTCGGAAATTTGAAATCTTTATTTTAAATTAAAGTTTAATTCTTTCAATACACTTGTTATGTTGTTATGTTAAAATTTTTAACTCGGGTCACGCGTTTGGACACAAAAACCCAACATCATTGTACAAAAAACTTAACCGTACCGTATTTCTTAAACTTCCATAAAGTTTATTAATGAGGAAAACAGCTTTTCCTGCAAATCATGTAAAGCCTAAAAACTGTGAAGCATCGGGAACGCAACTTCTATTCATAAAACTCACACGTGTACATACACCTTCAAAGTCCAAGGGATCCGACGAATCTCGCAATTCCCTCCTTGCTTTAGCTAACTCTACTAATCTATTAGCTTCCGCATCATCTTCCTCATCACTAAACCATATTTCAACTGTGTCCATTTTTTAAATTTTATAATAAAAGCAATTATTTTAAAAATGATGTAAATAAAACACTCAAGAAACAAATGTAAACAAACAAACAGCTGTTTACAATTCTGTCAACCATTCACAATAGTACAAATTTTTATCGATCAAGTTACACAATAGCAAAATAAAAGATGATCGACAAATTTCTATTCTACTGCCAGTCGACACTCGCAATAGGGGCCTATATGTTTTCCACCTTTCCGAAAGCTACCGTTAATTGATAAGCCGGGGTGTATACATTTTAAGTAAATTAGCGTCCTTAAATTTCGAAATATTGAAATTTCAAGCATTTCTGAAATTTACCTTTATATGAAAAGCGGTCGTAATTTTAGACCGATTTCAACAATTTTCAACGGTTTGCTTTTATGTGGCAAGCACAATAACCATACCGAGTTTGGTACGAATTGCTAGAACGGTTAGCGAGATACATATATGTGATCACAAGTGGGCGGTGCCACGCCCATTTTCCAAAATTTTATCATAAACGTATTTCTTGGTAAAGAATTGTTGCAACCATCAATTTTGAATAAATTAGCTTTAATATTTACTGATTTATCGAAGATTTTGTATTTCTCGAAATTACCGTTATATGGGAGGTAGGCGTGGTTATTGTCCGATTTCGCCCATTTTCAATACCATCCGTCCTACGCCCAAAAGAAGTTCACGTACCAAGTTTCGTTAAGATATCTAAATTTTTACTCGAGTTATCGTGTGCACAGACGGACGGACGGACAGACAGTCACCGCTTAATCGATTTCTCTTTTCATTCTGATCATTTATGTATACATTTGTCTATATCTATCTCGATTCGTTTTGCCTGTTACAAACAATAACGGTTGTATAATACCCTTGTGCACAAGTGCGCTCGGGTATAAAAATAACGGTGATACTTTATTTGAGCCACAAGAACAAATGCACCAATTGAATTGGAGAATGTAGTTAATTTTTATACTGTACCTGTAAATAGTTTGTAGTACACAATACTCATATCTGTAGGATTTTTCATATGTTTTTGAGGAATTTGGTAATTTTTTTGTGGCAACACTGTATTATTTGCAACTTATGTTTATTGAATTATGTTTAATAATTTTCATTTAAAATATAATTCAATCTATAACAGACACCACATGAATAAAAGCTTCAAAGCTTGTACAGATGTCAAAAAAATAAAAAAATAATGAAACTTAAAAACATTTTCATCATAAATTCCAAATTTTTAATTCGAATATTTAAAAAACTTTCGGGTATGCAATTTTGTAGCCCATTCAATTTTAGTCTAATAAAATGCAAGTTTCAAGTCGGTAAAAGTTGCCGTTGCTTTTTTAGATTTTTTTTTGTGGAGGGTGTTGCGCATTTTCTTCCATATAATGTATGATCAAAATCTTTATATGGAAAAAAATGTTTTGAAAAATGAAATTGATGAAATTTTTTTAAGTTTAATTAATTTTTTATTTTTTTTTTTTTACCTGTGCAAGCTTTGAAACCCTTATTTATGTGGTTTCTTTTATAGATTAAATTATATTTGAAATGAAAATTATTAAAAATAAATAAATAAACATAAGTTGCAAACAATATCGTTTTTAATTTCGGTGCTAATTAGTTGAACGCAGGTGTATGAGCGGGTTTGGATATGATGGACGCAAAAACATATCGTTTCTAAGGATTTCCTCCTGCTTATTAGGATTGCCTCTGTTTTGTGATCATACATACATAATACACATATTATGTGCAAACGTATATATGTAGGTATGAATAAAATCTACAAAAAATATATCATATATATAAATAGGCAAACATGTTTTCTTTACACCCCTTTTATGGCTAAATTATAATTCTAAGGTATAGAAAAAGGTAGTTTGACGCTTATGTGCAGAGAGTTACTGAAATTTCAAATTAGTTTAAAATAAAGCGCAACAATCAACTCAAAAGTGACACCAATACATATGTATACCATAATGACTACATACCATACATAGACCATAATGGCTATATTTACCTTTGCGATTGTAAATAAATAATTTCGATATGGTCTTAGTTTCAACTGGAAATGGAAATAAAACCATTATGGTTTTATTGGGCTTTTGAAAATTTATGTTGCCTTATGCTGGATTTCCACTAGGCATCAAATGGCGAAAATGACAAATGACAAAGTCGGGCATTAAAAAATAATCGTGTCATTACATTAAAAAAAAAAATAGTCATTAAGTTCATTTCCACATGGAATTTTTTTAAATGGCATACATTTTTTGTCATTTCAATACCTAGTGGAAATTCGGCATTAGAAATAGTTAAACTATTTTTACAACAAAGAAACAAATTAAAATGACATTATTAAAAGGAAAAAAATAAATGAGGTACAACAACACGTCGAATTTGTTATCAAAATAACCCAGATTTTAATAAAAAGTAAAATGACAGTATTCAAATTATTTTAAGGTTAGTAATATACCTATGTATCAAAGATGAAAAATAAATTTATAAGAAGAAAGTATTTATAACAAACGAACTGATTTTTAACTGACTTAAAATAAAGGAGGAGGTTATCAATTCGTCGCGAACGTGAACCCCGCGACAATGGACACTTCCAAAATTGTATACTTACATATATATCCATATGTATATTACCTATTTTTTCTTTTCACTCATATCCGCCCATTTGACTTGTTCATATATTAATTTTTCATTGAAACTTTGAATTTTGTAGCTTTAACTTTTCAACAGTTGAACTAAAAGCATTTTATAATTTTTTTTTTACAAAACGGTCATAAGGTCCATACAAAATGCTGTAGATAGCCATAAAGGCAAACACAAAACGGTCATAAAGTCAATTGACATTGTGACCATCTCAAACGGACATAAGGCCCCTTGAAGTGGTCATAATGTCAATTTCCAATATGGCCTTGGGCCTTATGTCACTCGACAATAATTTTGTCAACTGTAACTGGGTGACTGCGCAGTTTTTTGCTTTATTACTCAATTGAAAAACTTAAAATTTAATCTTATTGTCCAACCAAAAATTAGATAAAGCAAATTTGTGTTATTTCACTTACAATTGGGAAATAACATTGCCTTAGAGTGGTTTCAGAAGTATCTTAAATTTGGTGATAAAAGGGGCCAATTAACTAAACTGTCCGACACTAAGTTTTTCATATACTTATTATGTATGTATGCAGGTACATATGTATAATCAGCCCTGTCTGAACTTAGAATTCTTCACTGCTTTATTTTAATTTTCATTCTGAAATGAGAATCAGTCTTTTCCCATCCTGTTTGAAAAAATATTTGAACAAATTATTTTAATATCCGCTTACCGCAGATTTATAGGTGGCAAAATTATGTAGCTCTGCTGATCCGAATCGCCTAGTAAGCCTTTGCGACTGCAGCGATTCTGTGAGTCCCGTTGCATTTGCACCACCATCGAGTACATATCCGTATCTGCAAATCCGTTTGGGGATCGTCCATGTATGTAGAAGCCGAAGTTGTGTTCCAACAACATAAATACCGAAACATTAGACAAGGAGCAGAGATCGATGAACTTTTGCAGGGGATCGCCAAAAGTACCGTTAACAACAAAATGTCGGATTATTAGTTGAGTGATGTAAATCAATATGCTAGCAGTTGCTATTAGAAAGAGTTGGAGAGCGATATCCTTGCTTATCAAAGGATTAGTAAGCCAAATCTGCAAGTGAATCAAATAATATTTAGTAAAAAACCATCTTAGAATGTTTGGTTCTTCCTAACCTGCGCCAAAGGTAGCACCAAGAGGCCCTGCCACACAGGCGAGTGCTTTTGATTTAAACTCAAACGGATCCATTCATTAGCAATGAAGATTATTCTCCAAGCCGAGACATTATCAGAAGCAAAAGTCCGTACACTGGAGCAGACGGAAGAAGTTTCCAGATTGTTCTTTAATGTGAAATGATTATTCTCACAAGTACGCGGTCGCTCCCAATCAATGAGAAACAGATAAAAATGACTGACGCGCCAGAGGTGCACGCAAATGAAAACCAACTGCAATGAAATAAAATTCAATTTAAAAAGTTGCGCTTGCGAAGTTTTCACAGGCATGTTGTTTACCTTTAACAGAAAGGCTACATAAATTAGAATTTCCAATGAGCGTTGATCGTCTTTCATGACAGGCAATGTGATCTCAACGGTGCGTTGTGCTAGAAACTGTAATGGATAGACGAATATGTAGGAAAGGACGCTAAGCAAAATCGCATTCGCGGCATAAGAGACGAAGTGTAGCAGGAATTCCAGCAAACAAGAGGATGGCGCGCAAAACTCTGCAGTTACGGCGGTGCATCGTTTTCTAAAGTTATACATTTGCAGCAAGGCGAACGCTAATGCAGATAAAAGTAAGCATGGCAACAATGACTCGAACATAAGTCTCCTATGCACGGCTTCTCCAACCCGCTTAAAAGTGATTTGCAATTTAAATGGATGTACGGAGTTGAGTGTCGCATTGGCGCTTAGGTCAATGTGCCGATAGCGCAGCTTTACAAGCGGCAAACCAATCTGATTGTGTTCATGAATTTCATAGTGCATTTCAAAATATTCTACATATCTTATGCTACGGTAGAGTGAGAGTTTGAATCCGTCTTCATATTTAGCTTGCTGGACATGGCTGTGGATACGTCGAGGCTGTGCTTCGATTAGCTGAAAGCGTTTCACCAATTGCCATTCTTCTGGTAGTGGCCGCTAAAATTATAAAAATTGTATGACACATGCGTAAGTATATATGTATGTACATACAAATGTATGTGTGTATTTATAAATTGCGAATATTTTGTATCACTTTACTAACATTTGGGTTTCATTTAATATCCATTGACCCCTAGTTATAAGCATTTAATCAAGCAAGCTTTTGTAAAACAGTTTTCAGCCGGGCTTCCATTTTCATTTATTGTAATTTGATTCCATTTTAACGTTTCCACAGCAACGATTTGCAGATTTTGCTAATTTAGGAGCACGTAAAACTCGAACCAATATTGAGCAATTTAAGGACAAAAATTTAAAAAAAAAATATTTGCAATTTTTTTTGTTACTAAAATGCTCGATTACCGCTCGAATGCTTATGTTTTTGTTTTCTTTAATCAAAAATTCAGGTGTTTTGTTTTTGTTTGGTATATGGCAAGTATTGGTTGATAAGTATTTTTATTTTATTCAAATTAATGGTCATAAATGATATTCCATACAAAATCACTTCGTCATCATTTTGCAAACACGTGCTTGCGCTGGAAGTGAGAGAAGGAGAGAAAAAGTATGTGTGTAGGTATTTCGGATTTGGAGCAACAGATGGCGCAATATTAATAACTCCACGAATACGCGCATAGTTTGCTTTCCGGCGGAAATGTACCAACGGGAGTGTTTGTGTGTGTGTGTGTGTGTGTATGTGTGGCTGGGTACGCAACAGTCGCTAACGCCAATTGTGACACACCCCTGCAAAAAATTGTGCGACTAATCTCTAAAGAGAGTATTCCGAGATTACTCTCAATCGGGTTCAATTGGGCATTAATTGGTCCCAGCTAGTCTCATACGGGTACTAATGGAGGTCAATTAGTCTCGACTCATCTCTTATGGGTATAATTGGAGATCAATTAGTCCCCAACTCATCTCTAACGGGTACTATTAACGATTTAATGATATGTACGCACTTAGTCAATGAAATTTCATGTGGGGCGTTGGCACACAGAGAGAGTATTCGCCTAACAAAACTGAGCACCTCGGTTCGAATCTCAGCTGGCTCAAATTTTTATTTTTATTTTTTAAAAGTGACTAGTCGCTTTTTATACCCGTTTGGGTATAAAGGTGAACAATTAGTCTCTTCATAGGACATGCTCGAACAAAAGCGATCAGTTCATTCCATATAAAGAGATCAAAAGTGGTATTAGTCGCATGCTCCTTTGCGATTGCTCCCGGAGTCATCCCGGATTAGTCCCATTTTTTGCAGGGTTATAACCTAATCGCAGCATATGTGTGTAAATACATACATCCATGTGTACATTAGGGTGGGTCAATTAGTAGGTCAATTAAAAAAGTTGATTCATATCCTTACGATTCTGGTACTATGGACCATAACAAACATTTTCGCCCAAGGAACCATACCTCTAAAATCATTTTCGAGCCTGCCAAAATTTTTTGGTAGATATTTTCAAAAATACCAAATAAACGACCTCTTAGATGCATTTCAAAGACAAAAAAATGTTATTGAAAATGTGTATACGGGGGTTCTTTGGGTCAGAGAATCCATTTTTCGCATTAATTTTTAATTTTGATCGCCACCAGAGTGCGTTTTTGAACAATTTTTTGGATTTTTCACTTTCACATATTAAAAATAAAATGTTAATAAGCCACAATAACATTTACAATTTAATTTTTATTGTTTACTGTTAATTAGTTTTAAGTTTATGAAGGATTTTCTTTAGTAAAACTTTGTCGTAAGCGTCATTTGTCCGCAATTTGTCAACTTAATTTTTATTAAATTATCGAAAAAACTGTAGTCAATATTTCGGAAACTAAAAGAGATATCTAAAAACTGATAACACTCGAAAGGCCTAGTTCAAAATATATAACTATGACATAATGCACTAATCGCGCGCTGTGATGTTGATTCAAAATCAACATTTGAAAACCCATTTGAAAACACATTTACATGTATGGCTGGTTGCGGCCAAGAGGGTCCGGGTTCAATATAAAATTAAATTTTTTTTCTTCTTAATTACGAAAAAGTATCTGTGCACTTCACAACCACAATACCCAAATTTGAAACGAGTTGGGTTGGTGCTCTTTCACATGCATATTTTTTTTAAATTTAGCACATTTTTTTTATTCTAAAAATGTTTTCCCTCGGTGTAGTGTTAAATAAAGGCAGAAAATTTAAATGTATATCCTGATATGGATGTCAGACCAAAGAGGTTGTGGTTTGAAAACATTTTTGCAGAGGGTTGCCACCTTGTTACAAAGTTAAATTCAATATAAGCAATAGGTTAAATAAATCACTTCAATATGAATATAAATCAAAATTGCTTTGAAGAAACTTTATTTCTAAACAGCATGTAGGAGGGTTGCTACCTGACTTTATAATTAAATTCAAGTTTAATTACGAGTATTGGGTAATTTAAATATGTATCACAATACAAGTGTCAGACGAAAAATTTTTAACGAGGTTTCATGCATTTTCAAAACCCGCATAAATTCAGATACTCCATGTAAAATATTCTGAAAAACCGCATAAAATATCCAGTGAGGCAATATTAAGCAATAAAAAACAAATTTATTTCTTCACTTCAGCACTTATTACTCCATGTAAAACTGAGCATTAATCAAATAAATAGAATTTTATCTGTATTTTAACCAAAAATAAAAAAATACCACAATAAATACATGCATTATGTAAGAATACAATAACAAGTTATTTATCAGAAGCATTGTCATTTACAAACTGAAAACAACTAATAAAAACTTTCGAAAAAGCAAAATCGCTACAGTGCAAAAATGGTTTGAAAAACCGCATAAATTCAAATCCGCATAAAAAAACCCATAAAAAGAGACCTAAGTGTATTAAGAAATATTTAGTTTGAGCATTTATAACATTAAAGAGGGTTTCCACCCGTGTAAAAAGTTAAACTCAAATTATACAGGCCGACAAAATAAGACCTATCTCCTTACCCTGAAACCAGACTATACTTTCCCGAAAATCTGCGCACAGAATTGACCAGTTTTAGCTATATTACTTTGTTTATTCGATGTTCAATGTTTTTGTATAAAAGTCTAGCACAATATAAAACACACACTATATAAATCCATATTTCAAAGTTTGTACAAAAATTATAAAAATTCAACAAATTTTAACAAAATCCCCCAAAAATTTCAAACTTTTTTTTTTTAATCAGATTTATGGAAAAATTTTGGGTATGCAGTTTCATAGCCCATTAAATTTTAGGAGGTAAAAGTGCAAACCGCAAGACGCTAGAAAATCGCATTGGTTTTTTAATTTTTTTTTTCTGACGCTGCTAGGCATTTCCTTCCATATAAAAAGAAATTTTGAGCATGGTCGAGCATACTTTATATGGAAGAAAATGCACAACACCGCCAGCCAAATAAATTATTAAAGATCAACGCGATTCTGTAGCGTCTTGCGGTTTGCAGTTTTACCTACTAAAATTTAATGGGCTATAAAACTGCATACCCAAAATTTTTCAAAAAAATCTGATTGAAAAGTTTGAAATTTTTTGGGGGATTTGGATAAAATTTGTTGAATTTTTATAATTTTTGGACAAACTTTAAAATGTGGATTTCTATGGTGTGTATTATATATTGCGCTAGACTTTTATACAAAAATATTAAACATCGAATAAACAAAGTAATATAGCCAAAACTGGTCAAAGTAAAAAGTTTCTATTATTTCTTCCACCACTGAGTAATTAATTTGAACATTTTCAAACAGGTGGTAAAGCTCTCTACTCACTTTTGCTTGAAACCCATGTTTTAATATTTCACGTACCTAAGTAACTTCTGCATAATTTAATTGCTTTCGATTTTTAAATTAGGTGACAACCCTCATTAAAATATTTCCAAACTTAAAGTTCCTTAAACCTCTCCCGCCCGACACCCATACTGTGATGAATATTTCACTTATCTAATTTCCATAATTGAAATTGAATTTGATTTTTTAAACAGGTGGCAACCACCTTGTATTTACTAAAAAAATATAACCTTTTCAAAACTAATACTATTCTAATTAATTTATTTTTTTAAATATTTGGAATTCAATTTTTTACCAGGTGGCAACTCTTTTCGAAAAAGTAAAACCTTATGACACTTCTATAGCCCGAGCTCTTTCATTTGACAAAAATCCGTTCACGTATTATATATGTACATATATAGATAATTAAATAAGTACATACATACTTATGTTCATGCTTATATACATACAATAAATGAAAAATTATGCGTTATTCAGTATTACTTGAATCATGAATGAAAATTTATTCGCTATTTGAAATTATTTGAATGAAGAATAAAAATTTATTCGTTATTTGAAATTATTTGAATGAAGAATAAAAATTTATTCGTTATTTGAAATTACTTGAATCTTTATATATAAATACGCCTCAAGAAAATTTTGCAATCCCTTTTTTGAAGACACCGTTCGCTCGATTTCAATGAAACATACACCGATTTAAAGAATATAACTTCCTCTAATCCAGAAATGTTAATCCCGATACATAGGGGGCGTGGCATCTGACATATAGACTAAAATGTGAAAACCACTATATCTCTAAAACTAATTATGCTGAGGAACTGAAACTTAGCACAGATGCATAGATTGTAAATACCCCACTTACGGCGAAAAGTGGTAGATTTTGGAAAAGGGGGCGTGGTACCTCCCATACAAGCTGAAATTCTCATATAGCTTTTCTCTGGAACCCCTTATGCTAACGTCCTGAAATTTTACACAGCCACATATGACATCAATGCCGTACTTACGGCGGAAAGTTGTGAATAATGGATAAGGGGGCGTGGCACCGCCATACAAACTGAAATTCTCATATAGCTTATCTCTGGAACCGCTTATGCCACCGTCCTGAAATTTACACAGAAACATATGCTATCAATGCCGTTCTTACGACAAAAAGTGGTCAATTTTGGAAGGAAAAGGAGGCGTGGCACCGCCCCATACGAACTGAAATCTCATATCGCTTATCTCTGAAGCTGCTAATGATAACGTCCTGAAATGCGGCACAGCCATATATGCTATCAATGCCATACATACGGCGAAAAGTGGTACATTTTGGAAAAGGGGGCGTGGCACCTTCCATACAAACTGAAATTCTCCTATCGCTTTTCCCTGGAACCGCTTATGCTAACGCCCTGAAATTTTACACCGCTATTTACGCTATCAATAACGTGCTTAAGGCGAAAAGCGGTAGATATTGAAAAAGGGGACGAGGCACTTCCCATACAAGCTGAACTTCGCATTTCGCTTATCTGTGTAACCGCTTATGCTAACGTTCTGAAATTTGACACAGCTGCATATGTTATCATTACCGAAGTTATGGCGAAAAGTGGTGTGTATTCGAAAGGGGGATGAGGCACCTCGCATACAGAATGCAATTTCCCTATCGCTTATAACTGGAACCACTTATGATAGATAAGGTAATGGAATTTGATACACCTACATCTATATATATTTAAAATGGCAAGAATCATTCAATTGGGAACCATTTCCTATCAGATTTCTAAATTGCATTGAATGATTGGGCGCGTTTCTAAGATACAACTGTTAACCCCAACTGTAGCGGAAATGCTGTCAACTGTTGGGTCCAACAGTTACGTCTTAGAAACGGTATGATACATGAACTGCCAAACAGACAGCTGATATTAAATAAAAGAGCACAAAAATAAAAATTTTACGAAGCCAAAAATATGAACATATGAACACTAAAGCATCCCAACTTAAGCTACTATTCCATACGAACACAGGTACATATGTATGTACTTACATATGCTTATAAATCCACGAATTTTCCATTTATTTTAAATATACACGTGTATTTTATTTTATTTATAGCCAGTTTAATTTTTTTTTTTTTTTTGAATTTATTATGAAAACTGACGGAAGGCAAAAATCATGTTTCAGTTAAATTGTTGAGTTCATGTAGCGAAATAATTTTACGATGGAAAAAATGGCGTCGAATCAACAACCGTTCGGCTGAGCGGAACTACTCAACTGTGCGCTTCTAAATCAAGCGCTCAACAGTTTAACAACAGCTACGTCTTAGAAACGCGCCCATTGTTAATTTGTGTAATGATTTTTGAAAGGATCAGTGTTTGTTTTCCGTTAGGTGGCGCAGGGATTGAGAGTAGAGATGAGCATGGGACTAAATATTAAGTTCCGATCCCGCCCATCCCGAAATACAATTTCTAACTTCCGAACCCGCTCATCCCGACGTTTTTCAGAATTTTACCCCGTGCCCGGGGCCACGAAATCTATCACTAAGAAAATTCACATATCTTTCAAATTAATTTTAAATAAAAAAAATTTTTTGAAAGATCAGTCATCCTCCAATTATTTTGTTTTGCTTTGCTGTTCGTTTTCGTCTCAATAAAACATAAAAAGTGCATATTTCATACAATTTTTTTAACGAAGATTTTTTGAATTTGCGGAAGTTGCGGTTTTATCGGGAGTATCGGGAAAAGATTTTAATCCCGTTCCGTCCGTTAAATTTTTGCAGACCTTCCCGATACCGCTCATCTTGAATCAGTACCGTGGGTCCCGATATTCCGTGCCCATCTCTAATTGAGAGCTATCCTTAAAATGTATGGTCAGATTTGCTTCATCTTTAGAACACATAATAGCAACATAAAATTTGGTGCAATTCGGTAGCCCAATCATGTGATGCAAAAATATTGGGCTTTAGGCCCAATCTTGACAAAAACCCGTGTAAAACTGCCGTTAGAGAAGGAAATATTATATTTTGTTTTGCACTCTGATGAAAAGAATGAGGAGTTTATGCAGATGTTGGCAATTTAGTTTTAACGTTATTTGTTTAACATAATAGTCAGTGAGGAACCGTTAGGCACCTCATCTATACATACAAATACATACATATGCATATTTTTGTAAATGAAAGTTGAGGTTCCTTTTTCGGTATAATTTCGAAAGCTACTAAGAAGTATGGTTTTAAGTTTTCCTATAAATTCGCTATAAATTTTGGTGGTGGACTTCAAAATCGTCACTAGCATAAAGGAGTCAATATTGGTGATAAGCAAAATTTAAAAGTGTATGAAAAAATGTAGAATTTCGACAACTGGGATGAAAAAAATGTATTCATCATTCGAAAATGCTTGAATGATGAATAAACATTTATTCGTTATTTGAAATTACTTGAATGAGGAATGAAAACTTATTCTTATTTTTTTTTTTTTTTAATTATTAATTTTCCTGATAACGCCCATCCCTGTTAGCTACGCCAATAGAGTACGCTCAGAGGTCGTAAGGAAAGTCTGTCTACATTTTTAAACTGCATGTCTCCAAACCATCCCAATCTTAAGGCGAAGATTGTTTCCTAAAATAAATAAAGGTTTGAAGTTAAAAGGGTCATTCCATATAAAAGAGGAAAACGATATACATTTTAATTATCTCCTGTGTTGTGTGACGTGATTTAAACCTCATTACGAAAACCAGGCGATTTTCGCTTCGAGATAACTTTTTTTTACTGCAATGCTAGCCTCAGGAATTGTAAAACTTGATTTGCGGGCGTCGGGGGTTGTGGTATCGCCGCCATCTTATAAACAAAAGTGGTCCAGGTCTTTCTCACACATATGGAGAGCCATTCGTATACGAGTATGTATGCACGTGATAATCCATTCCGAGAGGATTTTTCTCCATTCATTATAATTACTTTTTTACCGTTTCCATTTGTGGATTAAGAAACACAATTATGGCTTTATGCCGATTTCTTTTCTACGTAAAATTCAAACTACCCTTTGCCCCTAGGCACGAACTCTTAAGAGGAGGGCGATGGAAAGGCCTAAGAAAGCTTATAGGCGAATTAAGCAATATTTTTGTCTTATTAATATTTAGCTCCTTATTTAACGGTTCTTTATGACTCAATTTTGTAAAACAAGGTAATTAGAGGGTCAAACATTTCACAAAAGCGTTAGGCAGACAAATTTTCTAGGGATCATCGAAAACAAAAATCTTCTGGGGATTAAGGGAGAAGATTAGATCCATAATGTTTCATGAAAAGTTTTAGCATTTTTGACCAAAAAGAGGAAAAAAATAACTTACTTCGCAGAGATCAATAAGGTCCAAAGATTTACCATAAAGGGCTACGACCGGGAACTTAATTAGCTAGTCCAAGAGCAACGTTAAAAATATATCTGTTTCCTTGGCAAACTGGAACAACTTCTTTTTGCGGTTACCTTCAGATTCGGCAGAAAACTGACAGAAGAACATCCTAGGAAGGGGTGGACATTCACAAAGGATTTGCATAGTCGTTTTTCTTCTCATGCACACCTTATCATGAGTAAGGACCATAATTCAGTTAAAGACTGTTCCCCTGAGGAGAAAAAAACGCTGACCACCTTTGTTTTCAAGTACACTGTGCAAAAAACCGTCAGTTTAACAACCTTATTTTGAAAGTACTAATTTCAATTTTATAAAAAACTTTTTGTGAGCCGTACTTAGACAATACCTAGTCATATCGTTAGTTTCCATTTAGAAAATACCATTAGGCAAATACTTACCATATTATCAGCGTAAATGTCCTCAATCAAAATAGGTAGAGTTTGTAGTTTAGTCTTCACAGCCCCTTGCATTGTTGTACTGGAAACATTTAAAAATACGCTGAGAAAGTAATCGTTCCCGTAAATTCGAGCTAAGTCGATTAGGTTCTCCACTGTCAGTCTGCATTGAATTGGTGTGGTATAATGTGCGAATTGTACATCCTGTAGCGTATTCCAGTCGGTCGAATCGCTTACTGCATGCATTTGACATAAATTCACATGGCTCATTTTAAATTCACCCCAACGGCGCAAAGTGCCGTCCAAAGCATAAACGGTGCTAAACAATTGCAACCGTTTGAACTGAAAGGAATGTATTTCCTGTAAAAATACCACACTGGGGGAAAATAAGATACTCACTGCGCCTTTGCCAGCACCAGTGGGAAAAGGTTCCGTTAGCATTTTAGCCGTACTTTTGCCCTTTTTATAGAAGAGCGGCGGCTTTGTCGCTTGTAAGTGCTCATCCATGCTGGCATATTTGATAGCAACATCTGAAACCTGAGAAAGCAGAAATGCGCTGCAGGGTGAGTTCTTATCGACGGAGAAATGGGACAGTATGCAGAGATTTGCCAGCTGGTTGCAAGCAGTAGCGTTTCGCAATGTTAAGCAGAAAAAAGCCACGTACTTTAGGTCACCAAAGTGGACAGCGCTGGCGCTGATTGATTGCCAAAATGAGTTGTACTTCAAATATGGCTTGAGTAGTGCATTACCAATACAATAGTCCAAGTAGCGAAAGTTGTATTCCAAATCGCAAGTGTTACAAATACCATGCGGATGAAAACTGGCAGGAGTTATTCGTATTGGTCTTGTTGTCGCTACAGACCTTGTTATGTAGTCCTTGGTGGGTTGCGTAAAATTAATTAATTTAAATTCGCATTGTGTTTTGCTCGAATTTGCTAGTACGACTTGACAATCATTGTCAATTGACGGATCGCCTAAACATTTTTCAGCGCAGATAGGACTCCTATTGTGTGTATCGTAAAGCACAACAGTCACATAGTTGGATGCGCACTCGCAAGACAATTCTGTAAATAGAGAATATTTTAAGATGTGATGTACACAAAAAAGATTGGTGTTATTTAAGTTAGGACTAGTTCGCAGGAGAATAGCACCCGTTAACAACTAAGAGATTTAGGTCAAATTGTCACTAAGGAAAATATTAAATGTGACCTGGTCTACGAAAAGGGAGCTTACGTGCGAAAAAAGTTTTCTGTGAAAAAGCTGTTAAAAGTGAAAATCATCTCATCTTCCATCCGAATCAACCAAAAAGTGAAAATTGATTTTTTTTGACACCTAAGCCCCCTTTCCGTAGACCAGGTCACAAATTATAAATTTTTTTCAATAACTAAAATTCATAAGGGAGGTAGTCATTTCCGGATACCAAATAAAACAAATTTTGCCAAGAGTCAAGGAGTTTAACTTTATAAGTTATTATTAGTTTTTAGTACATTCCAATCAAAAGCGTAGCAATCACGAAAACCAAGAAATTAAAAATAACGGATTTCTACACGCCGGCGAATACAAGCAACCAAAGCACCTACCTACGAGATAATAGCTTCGTTCCCCACGCTTTCCGGGCTGCTCCGGTAATTAGAGAATAAAAATAAGTTACTCTCTCACAAGTGTCAAAAATGTGCCAACACGTGCCAAAAGTGCCCAGAGCGTGAGGAACGCAAAAAACCACATTTCGTGCCCGGAATCAACATTTCAGCTCTAAACAATGATTTACGTGTATTTATCTTATATGGATAATAAAATTACCAAATAACTACATTTTCTGAAAATTCTGTGATATTTTGCACTTTTGTTTTTATAAAATTTGCTTTCGGATTTAAACAACAACAGCAGTTATTTCAAATTGCCCTTTTGCACATTGTTTCGTGCACAAAGAAGAAGATATTTACGATCGAAAAGTGGAACGTATTCGCTCTCTATTACCCATTTTTCTAGCGTGAGGAACGCTTTCTGGGCTGCTTTGGGCACCCGTGGGTACCCGCGGGCTCGTGTGGAACAAACCTAATGAAACAAAAGCTGACGTATTTAGATGGGTTTGCATGACCTAATGACAGTTAAGACAGATAGTAACACGAATACATAAAAGCAGAAGGAAACGCGAACTATTCAGAACGAAAAATTACACTGAAGATGGCACAACGCCGATACCGGTTTGTCTCCAAGCAAAATTTGACAAGGAATGACGAAAAATCGTTCCACAATACAGCTGAATGATCATTTTCGAAACTAACAAGACAGGCTCCGTAACTTGGCTATACTGTCTATTGAAACTTCTATGGCTCTGTCTTTAAACTTGAATGATATTACTTCAAAGATATTGCCACGGGCCGCAGATTAAATTTTTTTAGAAAGTGGGCATTGCCACACCCACTTATGATTACTTGTGTGTATCTTGGTAACTTGGCACAGTTGTTGGCCTTGGTACAACATACCAAATGGAAATAATCACGCCCACATCCCATATAACGGTAATATAGAGAAATACGAAATCTTCGATAAATCAGTCAATACTGAAGCTAATTTATTCAATATTGATGTTTGCAATATTGTTCTTTAGCAAAAAAATACGTATGTGATAAAATTTTGGGCACCGCCCACTTATGACTACATATGTGTATCTCGGCAACCGTTTGATCAATTTGTACCAAATCCAGCCACGCCCCTTCGCACTGTTGGTCGAGAATGGGAAATACGGTTACGGTCTCTACGATGTCAACACTCGCGCAACGTCATCAAGATGATGATCTTTGCAAGTTTGGGGGGCGTGGAAATGTGCTAATTTCGACTATATTTCAGATTTATTAGTTTTTGTTTAAAAGCAAGATACATACAAATCGATTTTAATAAAATCGGGTAGTGTTTCCCATTCCCGCAAACTAGTGCAAGGGGAGGGGGCGTGGGAGGGCGCGAATACACAAAGTTTTTTTATTTCTGTGTTTTTATGCAAAAATAGATCTTGCAGCAATTTTTTGCTAGTTTAGAGAATCGTTACTAGTCCTAGCCACATTAGAATCCGGAATTCGGATAGCTGGTGGGCCTGGAAGTTCACCGATCTTTACCATCTCCCAGGTTAATGTCTTTTTAGGTTAATCCAAGTTACAAATACCGAATTTCATTGAAATCGGATAACATTAACCATATCCGCCCCCTTTAATTAATTTCTCCTTGTTTACTTTTACTTACCACTTGTGTGGCGTAGAACAAATCTCAAATTTGTTTGTTGAGTTCTAAACACTTATAGCGTTTTCCTTTCTCGAAATAATGGCCCGTAGTCATAGTCAAAATAAAGTCGACTTTAAAGTTAGTTGCAGCTTTTTGACATAATTTTCAATGGGATATCTGTCAAAAAAGCTGCAACTAACTTTAAAGTCGACTTTATTTTGACTATGACTACGGGCCAATGTCGCATTTATTCTGCCCTGCGCCAGGGCTGTCAAATTTTCGTGTTCTTTTCTCAGCATCTTCACATGCAAATTGTGTGCTCTTTCTTTGAAATGTTGCACTTTGAAAATAGTTGTATTTTTTACCCACTTTCCAGTAAGATCCAGTAAAAATTGTTACGAATTTTCATGCTTTAGCGTTTTCGAAAGCGAAAACTTGCAAAGTAGGGGACATTGAGAGAGCGAAAATGACAGCTGAAGTTGCAAGTTTTTACTGGATTTTTTACTGGATAAATTTTAACTTATAACCAGGGACCGTAAAGGTTATAACTTTTATTATAAAAATCCCTTTTTAATCGTTATTAAATGATTTATTTGTACGCGGTAATCTCGAAAACTACTGAGCGGATTTTGACGGGATTTTCTCTAATATACTCTGTATCGACAAGAGAGGGATATTTTTTTACTTAAAAATTTAATAGGGTTGCCACCTGTCTAAAAAAAACTGTAAGATCCGCACCGTTCGTTGGATTACAAAAGATGAGGTGTCCAATGAAAGGAATTGACCCCCAGAAAAGCAATAATATTTTTTTAATAGGGTTGCCACCTGTTAATAAAATTACATTATTCAATCATAATAAGCGTACACTCAGAAAAAAGCATTTCCTTGAATCAAGAAAACAGTATCCTTATTTTCGAGTTACTGTTTTTTCCCTAATATTACGAAAAAATACCATTAATAAAAGAAATAAAAAACAAAAATAAAAAATATTTTAAAAAAATTCCTGCTCTGGGACTCGAACCCTGCTCATTGGAGCCATTTCAAGGTAATATTTCCTTAGAATAATATACTTTTTAGGGTTGCCCCCTATTTAAAATTACTATCTGCTATACATAGTATAAAGGAAAGACGAGATATTTTAACCACCCTACTGAACGAATTTAGACAATATTTTTTATGTACATATACAATAAGCGAAGTACATGATGAAATATGATTTCTTTCTCCAAATACGTAAATGTACATATGTACATACATATGCATACATTCAGCGCGTGACGAAGCCTCGCGCATCCGTGGCCGGCTAGTAATAATACTATTTTTTAAATGTTGCACAGAGAATCCAGCTTGGATTTATATGGTTTTGGTTTAAGATTATACTATGCTTTTATAAACAAATAATGAAAATTAAAATATATTAAGACAAATGGTCAAATCTTGTCAATATGTAAATGCCGTAAAGTTATGACAAGTTCTATAAATTCATAGTATTTGCATACCCATTGTTGTAATTTTTAATTTAAGAGGTTTACATGCTTTCTTATTCTATAAATAATCTTGTGCAAGCCTAAAAAAGGGATTATGATTGAAATTAAAAAAACATTTTTTTTAAATTTGTTTTCAAATTTCTCGACTGAGGTAATACATTTTATCTGAAATTTCTTTCCAGCTCTGGGGGAGGCGATCGCCCCCTGCGCCCCTACCCTGCATCCGCCACTGCACGATGTTGCAGGAAAACCGCACTCACATGTGTTCACAGGGCGACTTAATTCTTTTTTTCTACAGAAATTTATAATATTGTTTTAAAACTGGTACTCGTTCCAAAAGGGGTATTTTTACCATAATGATAAAAATTGTTGAATATAATTGATATAAGGCCATAAAATAACAAAAACAAATAACATAAGGACGAGCACACCTAAAAAAAGTTAAACATTCTAATAATAGAAATATTAACAAAAACCAACAACCACATGATCAAGTGAATTGCAACGGAATAGCTGCGCTTTATTGTAGTTGGCTTAGCAAGTGAAATAGTGGAAATAGGGAACAACAAATTACTGAAAGAAGCCTGATGAGTAAATGTGGTGATTTCCGAAATAGCTATCACTTCTACCATTTTTTCAAATTATTGTTGCTTTTCCACAATAAGTTTTCATTATAAAACGCACTCAAGCTCAATAAAAATTGTTGAATTTAATGATAAAAAGAAAATTTTTCATTTAATACGTAGGTAGCCTTTTGCCTAGATTAGCATATAGGATCAATTTTTTCCGTTAAGTGGGCCAGGAACCGGTCTAGTTATTCGAAAAAATCTTGTTTATGGTGTCACTTGCTTCAAATTTATCACGTAGGTAGCTTATTGCCTGGGTTAACACATAGGATATGTTTTCTGATAGGTGGACCAGGGATCGATCTATTCCAAAAAATCTTATTTATGGTCCGATTTTGCTTTACAGTTCGAAAGGTGTTTGAAGGCGCCGCAAACATGCGGGTATTGGCTATTTAACAATACTTATTACACAGGCCAACAAAAATAGGAAAAAGTATGATGCAGCAAATGTTAAGGCTATTTTTGACAGATTGTTTTGTACTGATTACGAATCCGTAAGCATACAGTTTTCATCACCTCCAGAGAAAAACGAGGTCAAAGTGTCAAACAATGGCGTTTTTTTGCAATATTTGAGAAGCTCTATCAAAGAAACAAAGGGTGGTAGAACCTTCCACTTAGGCTTAGATTAAAGTTAAAAATCTCGAATAAAATCCCTGAAAATTCCTGCACCTTTGCTTGATGGTCACTTATAGTCATTTGATAAACAGGAAAAACTGATTTTGGGAAGTTTGAGTACCTACCGCAATTAAGCAAAAGACTCAAATTAAGGCATGGAATTCTGACTTCAATCCCTGAAAATACTATTCCTGCACCTTGACTCTAAGGTCACCTATAGTCATTTATTGAACAGTTAACACTGATTTTTACACAATATTTTTGTTTTCAATTGCAATCACCCATACATTTCCCCCACAGCCTACTGTCTCACTTTTTTTCTCACGTAATAATGGAACGGGCATATCCCTGCAGTACGGGGGAGCGACTGCAGGACTGCTGAATCGGTAGCTACCTGATAAACTCCGTCAATTACCGACCGACTACTTGCAGTGTATTTCATCGATTACTTTTACAAGGCAATGTCCTAGGCGGTAGTCACCATCGGCTCTCTCTGCACTACCGGGAGTTATTAAAGTAGTCACTTGCGTGATTTATGGGCGCCCTCTGTCGTAGTTTTTCGCTATCCTGCTTACGACTGGTTCGACTCTGCACTACCATGTGAACTACTATAGGTTAATAGAGTAGCTACTTACCTAGGAGTCGGTGCAGTTGCGGATCAAAAGTAGCGATTGACTCCAGCAATACTGGAAGGATATTTCTGTTGAAAACAAGGGTGCCGTCGTACTGCCTAAGAAAATTTGGCTCAATAAATTTTTGTTATCCATTTCTTGGACTAAAGAAGAGAGCATATTTGCAAGCATATTTACCAATGTTTTAGTGCTTATCTAAGCGCTTAAAATGGATTTTTTCTTGCCTATTTTCTTCGGCCCTGATCATTACGATGCCAAATACTAAAGTCTGAGTCAGATTGGGGTCGCATTGCAGAATGTTTAATTTTTGACGAGGTCTAATGTACATACATACATCCATACATACAGACATACGTTATTTCTAAATATGAACATACTGCGATCCTACCATAATATCTGATCAATCTGTTTAATCAATACTTACTATCCGTCGTGGATTGTAGGATATCATCCTCCTTACCACAGGTAACACATGAAAACGTATCCAAATCGTAGAATTCGTTATTTTTGCAATGTCTCATGTCTGTAAATATGAGCAAAGTACTATTTGAATTGGACAACGCCACTTCCTGGGCGTTTCCCCAGCGAAAGAGCAAAACGGTTGCCATTTGGAAGAACAAATTTACACAAAGGAAGCCCATGTGGAATAGCACTTATTTATTTAAATTATTTTAACTTTGGCAAATTCTCGCACGGACCGTTTTGTTGATGCATAAACTCGTGTTTGTTTATATATTTTTAACTTATAGGCTGCATCAGTTTTCACTTCACTCACACGATGACACTAGTCAACTAATTTAAATGCCGCAAAGCGTTGTCCTCAGTGAGCGTATAGGTACTTACTTGGACGTGCAAGGCGTGTGCGTGATTAGTACCATTTCGATAGCGTTTAAGAGTCGCTCGTACGGAAATTTTCTGAAGGAGACATTAAACTAAAGTTTTGTTTGCATAAATCTATAGTATGGGGTTGCTATAGCTACTCAGCCAACCACCCCAGGCAAGGTGTTGCATGCAAATCAGCAGAAGGATTTTTAGATTGCTCGCAACTCAACTACCCCAGAGCACAAACCTTTATACTCGAACAAGTATGAAAACGCTTGAGTTAAAGAACCTGTATTTTGCTTGGTAATTAGTATTATTTGTAGTACAATGACCGTTACGAGGGTGGCCTAGTAGGCTGAATCGAATTTGAATAAGAGAACATAAAGCTACAAAAATTAAAAATGCATGAAAATGCAGCTGTAGTTCAATACCATATTTTTGGGCGGCCTGCTCTTATCTGTAGTTCCCTCGATGGCCGCAAAGTATTTTTTTAACCTTTTGGGGAAGACTTTCCTATTCCTACATGTCTTAATCCATAACTTGTTATGGCAAATCCAGACAGCGCTTCCCAAGAAATTGTCTCTAAACCACCCTGCAGTACGGGGGAGCGACTACAGGACTGATGAATCGGTAGCTACCTGGTAAACTCCATCAATTACCGACCGACCGGGTTAATAGAGTAGCTACTTACTTAGGAGACGGTGCAGTAGCGGCTCAAAAGTAGCGATTGACTCTAGCGCTGCAGTTATGAAATTTTTTGAAAATGGGCGTGGCACCGGCCACTTACGATGAAATGCTGTATCTCTGTACTGCCTTCACCAATCCCCACCAAAATTCGTACGAACATTGCTTGGAGCCTCACTAAGAAATTCTTTGAAAATTTTTGAAATCAGACAATAACCACGCCACCTCTCATATAACGGTAATTTACAGAAATACGAAAACTGCTATAAATTAGTAACTATTTAAGCTAATTTACTCGAAATCAATATATACAACCTGTCAGCAGTAAATGCTAGTTAGGAAAATTTTTGGAAAAATGGCACGGCACCGCCAACTTACGCCTACATATGCGTATCTCTGTAACCGGTCTATCAATTTGTACCATACTCGGTACATTTATCAACCTTGGCTCAAAAAAGCGATATGTTGAAAATTTAAGAAATCGTCATAAAATTACCGCCACCTACCATATAACGCTAAACTTCAGAAATACGAAAATTCTGATATTTCAATAACTAAAAAAAATGCTCTTGCTTATCATTCAGTTTACTGAAAAGTGAAAAAACGATATTTAATACGTGTGCCGAGTATAAAGCTCGGTTTCGCCCGAACTTATATTTCTTTACTTGTTATACCTTTCATGAGCATGAAATGGTATTATAACTTTGGTCCGATGTTTGCAAGTACCAGAATATGAAAAGATAGACCCATTAAAATGTATACTTAAATGATCAGAACGTCGAGCTGAGTCGATTTAGCCATGTCCGTCTGTCCGTCTGTCTGTCTGTCAGTCTGTCCGTCTGTTTGTATGCAATCTAGTCTCTCAGTTTAATTCGTAAGCTATTGTATAAATAATACTACAAAGTCTACTGAGAAAATCGTCAAAATTTATGCTATATAAGCTTTATCTCTTATACCACTGATTGTTCCTATACCAGTTTTTGCGATATATCTCCTTTACGTAGGAAGCTAAACAGCAGTGAAAATCACTGAGATTGGTGCTATATAAGGTATATATTCCATACCTCTGATTGTTTAGATAAGATTTTTTATATATGTTACTCCTCTATCTATGTGTGCTGTGAATATATAAATTTTTTCAAATACAGTAATCTGTTAAAGTAAAGTTTTCAGATGTCCATGAAAGGTATGAAGCCTTCGGCATAGCCGAAGACAGCGCTGCTTTTACTGTTATACGTGTGTAATTCGGAAAACGCTGTCAATGCACAACCAAAGAAAATATTAAATTTTCGCAACATTTATAAAATATAAGCAACATATTTGCACTGATATGGTATGCTATTTATAAAACGTACAAAATTTTCGAAAAGATAAGATAGCAGGTATAGAGGTGGAGAAACAAAAATAATATTTTGAATTTCTGTTCTTTTTTTTTTTGTTTTAATTTTTGTATAGCCATTTTAAAACACTACCCCTATGCTGTAATCCAAATGTTCGTAGTTACGAATTCGTAGTTCCGTTACGAAAATTCGAAAGCTCGTGGAAGAACAGCTAACAGTTGCATTAATATACAAAGGAGATTGCTAGGAGATTGTTCTGATTCATTTAGCTTAAATGATAAAATGTCAGCTCCCTCCTTTTAAGTGCCTCCATTTCACTAGATATTGTGCCACTTTAATTCTTGGAACGCTTTCCCAGAATTCCAACACATCCTCTTTAGCTCCTTTTATACAGCCTCGACCAATGTACGGCTTTTTGCTCATGGATTCCACCAGTTTTTCGTGTTGCGAGCGATTTGTTGTGATCTTCGAACTGATAATTTTGTAAACATTTAATAATAAATTTTTTTTCTATTCACACTTCAGCTTATATACATATTTTTGCATTCACACACTTTGGCTGAATTTCTTTATTCATTCTGAACGTTTGGAATAAACTTTTTTGTTTACTTATTCTTTAGAACGTTCCTGATGATATGTTAACGTATATTTCAAACGTATTCTGTTTATTCCGGCTGTGAAATGGGATTATCCGGAATGTATAAAGAAACGCAGCCTTTATTTTATTGATATTTTAAAACAATTTGTTTCGCTCCATGATACAAAAAGAAGGTAGTTTCATTTCAAAATTTTTGACAGAAAATAAGTTTTTAAAGTTTCATATATTATATATAATTATGAGGTAGGTACTTTGCCACATTGTTAGCAATCAAATAATACATTAGAGGATTTAATGTGTGTGATTTTTTGGTGTGGTATAAACTTTAAGTAAAGTCCCTTCGCCTCCCTGCCCCTTCCCCAAGCACTCGGGGCCAATTTCAAAATGGGGTAAAATTAAAATTTTCGTAAAGAAGAATCAAGCTCATCATCAATGTTTTTGCGCAAAATCCACCTCCAAATTTACAAAAAAAGATGCATATTTCAAACCGAAATCTTTGTTTTAAATCAAAGCTTAATCCTTTGACTACACATTTTTCAGTTTTAGTACAGAAAGTTGCAATTTAAATTCAGAAAGTTACAATTCATGTTCAGAATTTCCATTTCAAATTCAGAATTTCCAATTCAAACTCAGAAAATTACAATTCAAAATCAGAATTTCCAGTTCCAATTCCGAAAGTTACAATTCCTATTCAGAATTTCAATTTTAAATTCAGAAAGTTACAATTCATATTCAGAATTTCCATTTCAAATTCAGAAAATTACAATTAAAGTTCAGAAATTTCCAATTTTCGGGGAAAATGCTACTTCCTGGGAGTTAATTATTGGAGGATTTCTTTCTTGGTAGAAACAAATTCCCGGAGAAAAAACTCCTTGGGAACTGAACTGAATATTTCTATTACTGTTTTGTATTTTGCTTTTTTCCCCCAAACGACGTCGGGTGCTCTGCTATGTAGTACTGAATAAAATTAAATTGAAAAGTTTGTGACACAGTCGCTTCTACTATGCAACCTAAATTCTTTATATCCCACAATGAATATAAATTTTCTGAACTTAAATTGGAAATTTCTGAATTTGAATTGTAACTTTCTGAATTCGAAATGGAAATTCTGAATATGAATTGTAACTTTCCGAATTTAAACTGCAACTTTCTGAATTTAAAATGGAAATTCTGAATTGGAATTGTAACTTACTGAATTTGAACTGGAAATTCTGAATTTGAATTGTAATATTCTGAATTTCAAATGGAAATTCTGAATTTTAAATGGAATTTCTGAACTTGAATAGTAACTATCTGAATTTAAAATGGAGTTTCTGAATATGAATTGCAACTTTCTGAACTAAAACTGAAAAATGTGTAGACGCAAATGTTAAAATTTTTTAATTCGGGTAACGCGTTTGGACGCGATAACCCAAAATCATTGTACAAATAACCGAACCAAAATTTTATAAAATTAAACTGCAGTTCTTTTGATCTTACGTGGATAATCCTTGCCACAAATACATAGTTTCGTGCTTATATTTGTGTATATATATTTTTTAGCAGCGCCACATCTTTATCAGAAAATTCCGAGAATCCAAAAATTGGTACTGTTACAAGTTGCAGGGCATCATTTTAACTCGACCTCCTCTCTCCTCCACGGATAACGGTACATCGTTTAGAGGTTTCAAAATATTTTGCGTCAGCAATTTGTCATCAAACTGCATTAGATCGGGGCACCGAAATTGCGCATATGGAAACTTTGCATTTAGACATTATTCCGGTTTCAACCGTAAGTATGCATGTGCAGCATATGTTGCCGATATGACGTAGGGTTGCCTATTTACACGGGACTTAAATTTTAAGATAACGTCATGCATACCTTTCTTTAAAGTGCTGTATCTTGGAAACCTTTTAACGCAACTTAATGAAACATAATGTATTTCTTCCATCTTGTTATGGGCTTTAATTGTACATTTTTTTACATTAATGTGCAACGTATAAAAAACAAAAATAAATTAAGTAAAAATTTTTCTTTTTGATTTTTTTTTGGTTATAGCATTTTTAAAAGTTTTTATTTTTTCATAAAAACTTAGTCTATAATGTCAACTTTAAGTACCCAAACGGGCGTAATGGGCTACTTATGAGTTTGGACTCTAGATCGTCTAACGCTAGAGCAATATGATAAATAGACATTGAATTTTATAAAATTGTATATTTTTGAAAGAGGAAAGGTGTGTAAAAAAAAAACAAAAACAATATGAATAAATCATATTGACTTTACTAAAGGTC